GGGGTTTTACCACGTTGGCCAGGCTGATTTGGAACTCCTGACCTCAGATGATCCAACCGCCTCAGCCTCCCAAAGTGCTGGGATTACAGGAGTGAGCCACAGCACCTGGTTAATCTTCTATTCATCCTTGATTGAACCAAAATGTCATCTTTAATCTCAAAGTTACTCCCCTATCAATTTGTCCCATCCCTTGGTGTTATTCTTCCTAGTATCACACCTGACATTCTCTTGTGCATTTGTGTGTGTGTTTACTTATTGTCTATCTCCCTCATTATACTACCAACTCCATGGCAAAAGGGAATCTGTCCACTTTGTTAATCCCTGTATCTCCAATGCCTCATACAATGCCTGGCATAGTCAATGCCCAGTTAATATTTGCTGCATGAATAGACTCTCAGTCAATAGCTACCATCCATTAAGTGCTTCCCACATGCTAGATACTGTTTTAACCACTTTGTCAAAATTATCTCACTTAATCCTCAAAACAAGCCTATTAGGTGGATAGTCTTATTAACCCCATGATGCAGTTTGACTGTGTCCCCACCCAAATCTCATCTTGAATTGTAGCTCCCATAATCCCATGTGTCATGGGAGGAACCCAGTGGGAAGTAGTTGAATCATGGGGTTATGTCTTTCCCATGCTGTTCTCATGATAGTGAGTAAGTTTCATGAGATTTGATGGTTTTATAAAGGGGAGTTGCCCTGCACAAGCTCTCGCCTGCCACCATGTGAGATGTGACTTTGCTCCTCATTCGCCTTCTACCATGATTGTGAGGCCTCCCCAGCCAGGTGGAACTGTGAGTCAATTAAACCCCTTTTTTTGTAAATTACCCAGTCTCAAGAATGTCTTTATTGGCAGTGTAAGAACAGATGACTATGCCCCATTTTATAAAGAAGGGGATTGAGGCACAGAAGTATTGAATAAATTTGTCCAAAGTCAAGGTGGTAATAACACCCAGGCAGCCCAGCCCCAGATCCCACACTCTTAGCAACTGGACTCCCATACCCTTGATTTGATAGAACTTTAGACCTCAACCTCTTAATAGCTTGAGTTCCATGAAGGTCTGGCTATGTAGGATTAGGTCAGAGGGCAGGGATTGGAAGCCAAGCCTTTAATCAGGACTCTTCTCCAAAGCCTTTGTCCTTCTTTCTGTATCTATTCACCAACAGCTCTTGTATACTGTATTCTTATGTATCTCTTTAATGCTTAGCCATTTATATGATGTTTCTCCACTCTCTGAGTAGAGACTTGTATATCCACCAGAGTACCCAATATATATCCACCTTAGGCCTATGCACAGGCATTTGCCCACAGAAAGTAGATGCTAAATACTTTTTGGAAAAATTTCTGGATGAATAAAACATTTTGAACTGTTTTTCAACAGAACACAGCAAGGCTGTTTAATAAAAGAAAGCTATAAAATGCAAGAATGCTTACAAAGCAAGCAGAACTCAATATAAATATTCTTTGTTTTAATAAACCCAACTCTTCAGACTTCTCCCCCCCAGAAGCTTTACACATGCTGTTTCCTTTGCTTGAAACACTTTCTCCTTCCAAACTTTCTGCCTTTTAACCTCTTCCTGGTCCTCCAAATCTCAGTAAAGATTTTTCTGATTCCTACTCCAAAACATTCCGTCATAGCATTCACTACATCTTGCAGTTAATGCATTTTTTTTCTGTGGTTCTTCAGCTGATCTTTTTCTTGCCTCACAAAATCTAAGCTCCATGCAGGCTAAACAGACGATGTCTATTTTGTTCATCATCCCCTCCCAGAGCACAGCTCAGAATAGGTAGATGAACCGTGTTGAATGCATGAATGCAGTTTTGAAATATCAGCTTTACAAATATAAAGACCTTTGCTTTAGTGGGTCTCTTTGCTCAAGTAGTGACTTAAGTAGGACATACTCATGATTTTTCTCTACATTCTGTGCAGAATAGCATACCTGCATAGTTCTCACACCCCACTGGGAATAAGTACCAATATTGCAGGTTGGTTTTGAGCATGGATGGTGGTCCTGAGTTTAAATCCTGGCTAATTAATACATTCAGTATCTTAACTCTCCACCATTTCAAAATGCTATTTCAAAATGCTTTGGACAAAAATAAGGACAGCAAAGACTTAAAAAAAAAAAAGCTGATAACACTGAGAAAATATGGAGCAACTGGAATTCTCATATTCTGCTGTTGGGAATCTAAATTAATAAAACCATTTTACAAAGCAATTCAGCAGTATCCATTAAAATGAAAGATGCACATACTCTAAAACATAATATACTTTCGTGTGTACATTAGCCCAGAGAAACTTTTATATATAAGTACTTCTCATGGAGACTCACATCAAGATATTAACTACAGTGGTTCATAACAGCAAAATCCTGGAACCAATTTAAATGAATGGACATATTTAATATAATAAATTATAAATAAATAAATAAATCAGTAAGTTCCTACAGCAGAATGCCATGTAGTCATTCAAATGAGTGAACTAGATCTTCATGTAGTAACAAAAATGGGTCTCAAAAATATAATGTTGAATGACAAAAGCATTCAACATTAAAGTATAGATTGGCAGGTTCATTATAAAGGAAAGCAAAAGGCTGGGCACAGTGATGTGCATCTGTAGTCCCAGCTACTTAGGAGGCTAAGATTTGAGGATCGTTTGAGCCCTGGAGTTCAAAACTGTAAAGCACTATGATTGCACCTGTGAATAGCCACTGCTCTTTGGCCTGGGCAACATAGAAAGACTCTGTCTCTGAAAAAGAAAGAAAGAGTATGCAGACATGGCACTGGACACTGCACACTGCCTGCAGCATGGTGGTTGCCTATAAAGAAAGAAGATGGAAAAGAATGGGAACAGAGCTTCTTCAGAGGAGACTTCGACTGTATCTACAATGTCACTTCTTAAAGACAGCTGAAGCAAATATGGGAAAATGTTAAAATTTGTGAAATCTGAGTGATGAGTACACCACATTTTGAAGGTGTGTTTATTATAAGACACTTTTACATGTGAACTATTGTATAATAGTTTAAATGGCTACCAAGAAAGGGAGAAAGAGAGACTGAGAGGGACAGAGAGAGATTGAAAGAGAGATCTGGTTCTAGCTCTGCCATTGGATCTCAGACAAGGAATATAAGCTTTCTGAGAATGTGGCTTGTAAAATAGCATTATCAGTGTTCAAATTTCAGGGTTGACTGTGAGAATGAATGAAAATAAATGTGAAGAATGAATTCTAGATATTATCTGTTGGAATATCATTTTGGAGTGAGTCCCTAATGACTTTCTAAATATGCTTAATTCAGGAAGACTTTTTTTTTCAATTTGATCAGAAATTATATAGAGGTATTTTCAAAACAAATCTGACGCCATGAAAAATAATACATTGCTGCTGTTTATGCAAAAAACATGTATTATGTTGGTGGATCAACCTAATACATGCACATTTACATAGACAAATACAAGCATAGATTTTTTTATTAACTGTGATTTCCCTGCAGGAGGGGAACTTCGATGATTGGAGAACAAGAATCAAAGGAAAATGTACTTTTCCCCGCTAGTATTTTTAATTATGTACCATGTATGTGGATTACCTATTCCAAAAATAAATGTAATTTATTTTTAAATTAATCTGAAGGTCATGATCGTCTCTGCACTTTCAATTTTAAATCTACTTAAAAAGGAAAGATCCTAAAATCCAAGCTCTGAAGAGGTTCTTAAGAGGTTATGCAGTCCCATATCTTTCCCAAACACATATAGCAGGAAATGCTACCTCAGCCCTATATTCTTCATGCAATTGAACAAAAGAAAGAGCATAAGATCTGGGATCAGGGGATCAAGGTGTGTTTCCTGTCACCACGAATTATTAACTGTGTGGCTCTAAGCAAGTTGCTTAAGTTCTCAGAACCCCAGTTTCATTCCTAAAATGAGGAGAATGGCGGCACCACCTCTCACGGCTGTGTGAGGCTCTCAGAGCCCAGGTTTCATTTCTAAGATGAAGAGAATGGCGGCGCCATCTCTGATGGTTGTGTTAGAATGTAAGCATAACTTTAAAATAGTATTCACATGCTCATATGAGGTGCTATTTGTAATGCCAAGGTTGTCTGTCAAAAGCATTGAGTCAATCATTTTGACTTCCGTGGGAGTGCACAATAAATATATGCTTAGGGCCCCCATTAGAGCCAACGAAGTCATCTTTGCTTCAGAGGTAAACCAGTTTTTCTTCTCTCCACAGCAAATATCTTGACCGTGATCATCCTCTCCCAGTTGGTGGCAAGAAGGCAGAAGTCCTCCTACAACTATCTCTTGGCACTGGCTGCTGCAGACATCTTGGTCCTCTTCTTCATAGTGTTTGTGGATTTCCTGTTGGAAGACTTCATCCTGAACATGCAGATGCCTCAGATCCCCGACAAGATCATAGAAGTGCTGGAATTCTCATCCATCCACACCTCCATATGGATTACTGTTCCATTAACCATTGACAGGTATATCGCCGTCTGCCACCCACTCAAGTACCACACAGTCTCATACCCAGCCCGCACCCGGAAAGTCATTGTAAGTGTTTATATCACCTGCTTCCTGACCAGCATCCCCTACTACTGGTGGCCCAACATCTGGACTGAAGACTACATCAGCACCTCTGTGCATCACGTCCTCATCTGGATCCACTGCTTCACTGTCTACCTGGTGCCCTGCTCCATCTTCTTCATCTTGAACTCAATCATTGTGTACAAGCTCAGGAGGAAGAGCAATTTTCGTCTCCGTGGCTACTCCACAGGGAAGACCACTGCCATCTTGTTCACCATTACCTCCATCTTTGCCACACTTTGGGCCCCCCGCATCATCATGATTCTTTACCACCTCTATGGGGCGCCCATCCAGAACCGCTGGCTGGTTCACATCATGTCCGACATTGCCAACATGCTAGCCCTTCTGAACACAGCCATCAACTTCTTCCTCTACTGCTTCATCAGCAAGCGGTTCCGCACCATGGCGGCCGCCACGCTCAAGGCCTTCTTCAAGTGCCAGAAACAACCTGTACAGTTCTACACCAATCATAACTTTTCCATAACAAGTAGCCCCTGGATCTCGCCGGCAAACTCACACTGTATCAAGATGCTGGTGTACCAGTATGACAAAAATGGAAAACCTATAAAAGTATCCCCGTGATCCATTGGTGTGGCACCTACTGCCTCTGTCTAATCTATTTCCAGATGGGAGGGTGTCCCATCCTACGGCTGAGTAGCTCTCCTTAAGAGTGCTAATCTGATTTTCTGTCTCCTGCAGACTGAGCAATTCTCAGACTGGCAGATGAGAAGAGATGGAAGAGAAGAAAGGAGAGCATGAAGCTTGTTTTTACTTCTGCATTTATTTCCACAAAGTCACATTGAAAGCAAAAGCTCCTACCAATTTGAAGATGCCATTGGAGGTTGTGTCATCATCCTGTGGCCAGTTAGGACACAGAGTAGAGAAATAGTCTGTGATTTTGCTCCAGTACCATCCACAGTCATTGGGAGCCATTCATTTATGTGACTTACAAAGCTCCAGTAGCACGTAGCTGAGCCTGCACTCTTCTTCCGGGAGCTGAGGTCATTCATCACTTCCCTGTGCTGTTCCCAGGAGCTAACAATACTAACTGTTTCAGGATTTTTTTCAAGGTGCCCTTTGTCCTAGAGAGGGTTGTGGTCTTGAAGTGGCCCTGGCACTCCTAACTTCAGAATGACACTGTGGGAATAGAAGAGTATTGGATCCCATCCAAACTCTGGCCAGAGCTTCTTCAGAAAATCTCCAAACCCACATAGCTATGACCTCAAACCTGGGGGTCTAAGAGGCAGTTTTCTATTTATCATTATGTATAGATTTTCTCTATCTCCTCCAAAACAAAGACCCTGCCTGGTGCGCAGGGGGAAAGGAGGAATTCTTGAGCCCAGAAAAACAAAAAAAAAAAAGCCCACACTTGCCATTGTTTCAACCCGTCCCTGTGTCAGCTGCATATGATCTCGTTACTCAGAATTGCTTCTTGTTATGGTATCACTCAAGCTTCCTAGAGAAGCCTTTTTACGTGTCGAGTTGCCAACCCTGCCTCCTTGCTTGCTGAGGCCCTCACCAAATTGTTTTATTTGAAGTGACTTCCGAACTGAATTTAATATTCAAGGGTCAGGAACTGCAGCTCTGCGGGTATGAGAGGAGGTGTTCTCAGCTCTGCCTCAGAGCCCAGCTGGCGTTGCCATTTCGCCACAAACGCAGACACAAAAAGTGCCCATGCTGACGCTTCGTCTGCCCTTTGACGCACATGGCTCAAAAGGGTAGTGCCAGTTCTTGGTAAAGCTATTTAACCCAGATCCTTTGCAAAATGATAAAATATAACTGTTTATTTATTCTACCCTTGCCTGTCCAAGGCAAAAAGATTTCTAGGGGGGCTTCCCTGGAAATTGCTACTTATGTGTGCACCATACACACACACACACACATGATTATCTTCTATGTTCCTGTTATTTCGCTTTTTTTTACTTCTGTCTCAGATTCCCAGTATTAGAATTCATCCCTGTTTTGGAAGAAATCTGCCAAAATGATTTGAAATTGCGTGATATTTTTGGTGGCCAAACAAAAAGCAGAATGGTCCACCTGGAATACTTAGTTCCTCAGGCTGGATTTTTACTGTATTTTGTCCCTAGATTGGAAGACATGTCTATCTTTTTTAAGGGAATTTGCAATAAATGAATGGGGTAAGAAAAGGCCCCAGGGCAACACAAACCCTAAACTTCGGCCAGTGTTCTCAATACTAATTCAATATAATCGTAGGTCCTATTATCCCAATTCTTACCCCTTTTAAAGTATTGCAATAGAATCTCATCAGAGCCAAGGATTAGATTCTAAAGTCAATGCAAAAGATAAAATATTAAAGAGCCAAAATTACCTTTGCAAAAGATCCTCCAAAAAGAGACATGTTGGAGATTATATTCCATTGCTTTCAAAACCTAACACAGCTAAGTTTTTCTCTAGCATTGGAACAGGTTGTTGTTTCTCTGTTTGATGACAAGGCAGAATTGGCTCTCATTTAGGGACCATATTGTGTGATTCTAATGTATCTGAGAACATTAGGACCACCCTGGTGCATCAAGATGCTTCCACTGAAAGGAGTTCATGGAAGTTATCTCACTGAGGGACAGATCTCCATCTCCCATGCTCCCCAGGGCGTATGCTTATTGAGTGGAATGGTAAGCAGATTCCCTCACATCCCTAAAATTGCATTTCTCTCTGTCTCTTTTTTCCCAAGCATGTATAATTGAACATGTGTTCATTAAATCTGTGTATGATGCAATTCCACCACACCTCCTTATGAATGGACATTGACCAAAGGCTACCTATACTGAATATATATATATTTATTTATTTATTTGTTTGTTTGTTTGTTTGTTTTTTAAACACGTAGCTCTGAAAAATGCTAGTTTGAGCTATACATGAATGGGTCAAAGTGCAATATCTACAAAGGTTAAGCAATTCCTTTTTGAGAATGTATATAAGATGGAAAAGATGTATGTGACTCTCCATGCTCTCTGCTCCATGTTTTTAATTGTATGTAAAAATTGTCGTTGTTTAAAAACTGCGTGTGCATTGGGAACATTTTCCTCAGACACTTTCATTTATGACTTCTCTTGATGATAGAGGCTCTACCATGTAATATTGTGATCTCTTTTCCTCTGAATATATTTTATATTTTGCTAAATGATATTTAAAAGAGGTCCACTTCTCGAAAGCACCCTAGTGAATTGCTGTCTTCTGATTAAAATGCAAATGAATGCCCATTGGGTTAGGTTGATACATATCTCTTAAAATTTATTTCAGATTATCTAAGGACTTTTAATTTATTATTATTTATAGTAATAATTATGGACATCATAAAAAGGGTTTTTTTGAACTCTAAAACTTTAAAAACTTGTAAGCCTTTTCTTTCAGGCCAGTTTTGAAAGTAAAGCCTTGAATTTTGAAGCCTGTCATGTAATCAGCTGCTGCTGGTGGCACTGAAGCAATTGCCTTATTTTGGGTTTTTGTGGTGTCTCTTTCAAAGACGGTTAACTAGCTTCTCTCTTGCTGTATGATTTGTGTCGTTGGTTGGACATTGCAATGATGATACACACCATCATGCTGTGTCATTTTATTGAACAACTTGAAGGCTGAAATGTCTTATGGGGAAGGAAATGAGGGGAATGACAGACAAACCATAAAAGACAGACCAGAGGGGGCATGAACTTGTGTGTTGCAAACACCCTGCTATTGGAAAAGATCACTTTGCACAGTTGGTACCTCCTGATTCAACATGGGGAGCCTACCCGAAGTGAATAAAAGACTCTAATGTTGGCTATTCCAGTTCAAAGAATGGAATAGAAGATTACCATAGAAAAAAAGCAAATGTTCATATTTTCTTAATTAGATTATATATTGTGTTTGGACTTGTTTGTATCATAATAGATTCTAATATGGTGCACACTTGGTGTTTGGTGTTTGCATCTATGTTCAAGCAATTGCAGTATGCTGTTTTTATTACTATTATTTTTAATTGATAAATCATAATTGTATACATTTATGGGATACAATGTGATGTTTTGATATACTGTATGTATACAATGTGGAATAATTAAATCAAGCTAAGTTAACACATCTATCACTTCACTTATCATTTTTTTGTGGTGAGAAATTTGAAATTTATTATCTTAGTTATTTTGAAATATACATTGTTATTGACTCCAGTCACCCTGCTATCCAATAGATCTCAAAATTTATTTATTCCATCTAACAGACTGTGTGCCCTTTGACAAATGTCTTCCCATCCCCTGCTTCTCACCTATTTCCAGCCTCTGGTAACTATCATTTTACTCTCTACTTCTATGAGTTTCACTCTTTTGGATTCCACATATAAGTGAAATTATATAGCATTTGTCTTTCTGTGCCTGGTTCATTTCACTAAGCATGACACCCTCCAAATTGTAGAATAATGGTTAAAACCTTTAACATTTAAATGGACATCTTTCTTATACATCATGCTGGGTGCTAGACTAAAGCCAGAGTTCTACCTGACCCCTGGTTAGCAGATATAGCTCAGAATTTAAGACCACTGAACTCTGCTCCCTGTACTCCTAAATTAGGTAGTTTACTGTGTATAAATCTGAATTCTCTTCTGATTACATCCTCTTTACATCTTTGAGATGGTGATGGATGCATTAATAATCATAACTGGAAATCCAGCATCATGTATAAGAGCTTGGGCTTTTGTGTCAGACAGTTATGAGTCCATGTCCCAGCTCCAACATTTACTAGACGTACGGCCTTAAACAAGTCCTTGGAGATTTCTGAAGGACTCCCGTCATCTAGAAAATGGTGCGCAATTTAAATGTTTCTGTTGTCTTCAAGGTATGCGGAAACTCTTACAGGAACCCAAAATTTGGCATCAGTTATTGCAAGCCATAACTTTCTGGCTGTGTGACCTTCAGCAATGTTCTCAATCTCTCTCTGAGTCTCAATTTTCTCTCCATAAAATTGAGCTAATTATAATTCCAGTAGGTACCTTATAAAGTGATTATTAGTAGCAGAGCTTTAAAAATACTTCCAATTGTACATCATCTTAAAGGTGAGGAAGTTAGGACCAAAGAGATCAATGAGGTGAATGATTTGGGCCTGAATGGAACCTAGGTTACTCAACACTCTATCCCTTTCACCTCACCTCCTTATCTTCTTTGAAAAATTCTAAGTCATCCCCGCAAAACATCACATTGTTTCTATGCCCATTTTAGAGTTGGGTGCATTGCATAGTTTTGAAACTCTTCAAACTCAGATCATCCAAGCATGATATATATTATAACAGCCTCATAATTAAAACTCTCAGCTTGACCTTTCCTTCTGAGTAGAACTTTTTTTTTAATTGACTCTATGTGGAATCCTAACCATAGCTCTCAAACTTGCTATGCATTTTCCCACACAAACCACCATCAGTTCTGACAGCCACCCACAAACTATTGTCACAATCCATCTTTGCATCAATGTGGAGAATAAAAGTGACTTAAGAGTTGAGGGGGAAGTACAGAAAAGCAAAGAATTTGCTGAAAGGGTGGCAAACAGAAGCTGTTAAGCATGGCCACAGCAGCCTCATTAATTTTGTTCACCAATTCGAGGAGGCAGGATAAAGGAGAGTTGAAGGAAGCTGAGCTGTTAAATAACAATCCTTTTATTAGTGCACTCAGCTAAATTTGATAGTCCGGCCTCTTTGGAGAGTGTGCAATTAATCCCAAGTACTTGCCAGACACAACAGGGGGGATAAGAGGCTCGTATCTACTTGGATAAATAGATACTGTGAATTTCCTGGGTTTATTGGTAGAATGTGTTACTGTCATGCCAAAAAAAAAAAAAAAAGGAAAAGCAGGGTGGGGGAAATGTTCTGATTTAAAATGAGTAAATAGGGCCACAGGGAAGAGAGATGTCTTCTCATCAACTCTGCATGAGGAGTTGCTATGTCTTTGGAGCTTTGTTACTGAGAGAATGGCAGTAACATGACATTTCTCTCCACTGGAGATGGAACAAGAGGATGTGAGACTTCAACTGCAGTGTGAGAGTTCCAGATTAAACCCAAAGAAGAAATCATTATAGGAATGTCTATTAACACCACAAATGGTTTTTAGTGGGAGTTCTTAGAATCTGCTTTTCTGGATATATTTCAAAATGGGTTGTCTATCAGAGTCTTACAGGGAACAAAATCTCAGTGAGATGATTTCATGAAAAGACTTTAACCAAAAAAACAGCTAACAATGGCTTGAGCAAGATTAGGGGAACTTGTGAGAGGTGAAGCTTCCTGTGAGGAAGCTTTCATTTGCTGTTGAGGTACCTTGGAACTAGAAATAACAAGAAGCTTTACCTCTCCTAATGAATGAGAAGAAAGGATATTAGTGGACCTCAGTGAGGTCTAGCGTCTTGGAGGAAGGGCCTTCCAGCAAGAAAGAGCCACACCACAGTCAGGACCCCAGAGCAAAAGGAATGCCTCTCTCTTCCTTACCTCTGATATCATTCTGATGTTGCCCACTCACCAAGTTCAAACAGAAGCCAGCCAGAAAAAGAGAGCAGGTGGTGCAGTCCACAGTGGGAAGATCCCAGGGCACAAGGCAATGACGAATAGATCAAGAGTAAAGTGAGACAGGAAGCAACCACAGAATAACCACAAAGGCTATATTCTTCTTTTACTACCACTGAATCATTAGAGAGCCACAGAGGATCTTAGAGACTATTTCACTCAAAGATCAAAAAAGAAAGCTAAGTCCTGAGAGAGCACTTGTCCAAAGTTACACAACCTAGATGTTAGTAGACCCTCTTTCCAATGATCTTTCTGTACATTTCCAAGAAATATAGAATAGATTATGTACCTCTGCAAGCTTGCTTTAAACCTCCATGGTTAGAAATCTTCATGGTTAGAAGTTTCTTATATTCTTCTTCTTCTTTTTTTTTTTTTTTTTTTTTTTGAGACAGTGTTACACCGTTACCCAGGCTGGAGAACAGCGGTGTGATCTCTTTTCACAGCTCACTGCAACCTCCTCCTCCCAGGTTCAAGAAATTTTTCTACCTCAGCCTCCCGAGTAGCTGACATGTGCCACCACACCCAGCTGACTTTTTTTTGGTAGAGACAAAGTTTCACCATATAGACCAGGCTGATCTCAAACTCCTGACCTCAAGTGATCCACCCATCTCAGCCTCCCAAAGTGCTGGGGTTACAGGCATGAGCCACGATGCCCAGCCAGAAATTTCTTCTATTATTCCTTAGCATCTCCAGTGACCAGGCTGTCAACATGAACATGGTTAGGGGTGGAGATGAAAAGAGTCATGGGGGTAGGCACTCATTTAACAACCGCTGGGTCCCAGGCACTTCTCTAGTATGTATTTATTTGACTAATATTTATTGAAATATGCTTTGTGTCAAGATCTATTCTAGGCATAGTGATTCGTTAATGAACAAGATAGATAAGACCCTTGACATTTTGGCGCTTACATTGTAATGAGAAAGACAATACATAAGAAAGCAAATAAGATAATTTCAAGTAGTGATAAGTGCTGGAAATAAATAATTGTAAATGACTAAGGTCAGGCAGAAATAACACTAGATAAATGAGTCAAGGAAGGTCTATTTGAGAAAGTGACAACAGAACTGGAATCCAAATTAAAATGAGACAGTCATAAAAGGAGCATGTTAGGCAAAGGGGTCAGAGAGTACAAAAGCCTCGAAATGGGAATAACCTTGGATGCTAATGGAACAAATGGAAGATTAATATTGCTGAAACCTAGTGATCCAGGGTTAGAGTGGTATGGAACAAGGAAGGAAGGATTAGGGAGAAGCTGAATCATGCTGTGTTAGTCTGTTTTCATGCTGCTGATAAAGACATGCCCAAGACTGAGCAATTTACAAAGGAAAGAAGTTTAGTGGAGAATGCACAGTTCCACATGGCTGGAGAAGCCTCACGATCATGGTGGAAGGCAAGAAGGAGCAAGGCATATCTTACATGGGTGGCGGCAGGCAAAAAGAGAGCTTGTACAAGGCAACTCCTGTTTTTAAAACCACTGGATCTCGTGAGACCCATTCACTATCACGAGAACAGCAAGGGAAAGATCTGCCCCCATAATTCAGTCACCTCCCACTGGGTCCTTCCCAAAACACATGGGAATTATGGGAGCCACAAGATGAGATTTGGGTGGAGACACAGAGCCAAACCATATCACATGTAGAGCTTTGTGGTCCCTGGTAAGGAATTTGGTTGGAAGCCATTAAAAAGTTTGAAGTAAGGAACTGATGTGATCTTCTTATCTCACTTAATCTTCACAATTCTTGAAGGACAGTGTTGTTACCTCCATTATCCAGATGAGAAAACTGAATCTCATGGGGATTAAATTAAACATACTCAAGGTCACAATGAGTAATTTATGAGCTAGTTTTCAAGTTCAGTTCTGTCTGACTCCAAAAGCCACTTCACTTCAGGCCACATTGGCATGCTGTTGTTGACATTCCACACTCTCTCTCCTGAATTTGCAGTTTGGTCCCATTAGCCTTTTCATCATCAAGGTTGATATTTAGGCTAAAGTTATCTTCTAGTTTCATTAATGAGGAGTCAGAAATCATTAGTGCATAATACTGTATGGTTCTATTTCATGACCCAATTCATGTGTCTGATGATTTCTCGCAAAGCATTAGCCCTACAAGATGGCAGATAAAATAATACAGACTCTACCAACAGAGCAGACATTTTAAAAGATACATTGTTATTATTATTTGAGACAGTCTGTCTCTGTCGCCCAGGCTGGAGTGTAATGGCACAATCTCGGCTCACTGCAGCCTCAGCCTCCCAGGTTCAAGTGATTCTCCTGCCTCAGCCTCCCGAACAGCTGGGACTACAGGCACATGCCACCACACCCGGCTTATTTTTTGCATTTTTAGAAGAGATGAGTTTTCACCGTGTTAGACAGGGTGGTCTCAATCTCCTGATCTCATGATCTGCCCACCTCGGCCTCCCAAAGTGCTGGTATTACAAGCACGAGCCACCACATCCAGCCTATTTTTAAACTTTCCTGCACAATCTTCAATCATAATTTTCATGTCATTATTTTGCAAATGTTTTTAATATGCAGATTTT